TGTATGTAACCTCTTCTGGGTTAGGAACGGGGTATATGTCTGGGTATATAGCAAATGAGTGTGTATCTGTGAGGATTCTGCGTAGACCAAGGAGAAGGTGCTGGTTTCTGTCAAGCCTGGAAGATTTGTTGTTCCCAAATTGTTCCGTCGCTAAGGAGCAGGCACGGAAGCACATGTCTCGTTCTCATCGGCTCGACTTCCATTTCGGACCAAGCTGTCACCCTGAGGCGTTGAGTGTGAATGTATGTAGAAACTAATGGTGAGAGAACGACTCTTCTGACGAAGCTGTATCCACAACCGTTGTGCAGGGACACATCTGAGTCGTTGTGACTCGTGTGATATCATAGCGTATACCTATACCAATCGGTATTTTGAGCTGTGATAGATAGTGTAGTATTTGTAGAGTTGTTTATATACATATACGATATAAGTATACATACCCCTCGTTGATTGCTTACAATTTTTGTCGGTGGGAGTATTTTCTGTTAGCATGATTAAGCACAGATCAACAGCCAGCACTAATGGGGTAGTGGTAACCTGGGTCGTTGCCATACTATCTCGACCCGCCGGGGGTTCGATTCCCTCTTAGTGCATTGTTCTGTTTTTGCATACACGACACAGTTTTGCCTCATATCGCAAGTTGTACACAGGTTGTAAATCAAATCATATTAGAACTCACTCAGGACGATACTGCAGTGTCCCTATCATAAGTAATTCTCTCCACAAAACGGACATCTGAGAAGATAGTTGAGTCGTATTGATACCATGGATTCGCTGCGGTTTGAGCATTCAATATTCAGCTAGCATTCTCAGGCTATTAGTAACACGAAAGAACATTCTGCAATATTATGATCTACCAGCATTCTACAGCTCATAATCGCTTGGATCCTGATGTACGTCCTATAAGATAAATTTGAAAAGTCGGTCAATGGCACTCACAGCATAATCCTTACGTCGTAAAGGCAACGAATAGTGACTCATAGAGACACAGAATATGTAAGCACGACTTATTTCCTTAGGTCAGCATATGCATTACTTACCCTGCCAACAGCCCAAACAATACAGTTAGTCAACGCGACCGCGAGCACGCCTCCAAAGTATATCATGGAGTCGCGCAGCACGACGAACATGAGATGAGGGGTTGTGGAGTCGTCTAGTGCATATTGGATACTCTTGACGATGGCAAGAATGAAGAGAGTACTTTCAAATACGATCATGGGGAACCGATATGCATAGGCGAGCTTCTGGGTGTTGATCAGAAAACATCCTGACCAGGGAAGATGGGCAACTGGAAGGTTTTCAGTAATTAGGGCTGTCGTGCTAACGCATCTACGACAAGCATAGGGGTGCTTACTTTTTGCGCGACGAACAACAACCTCCCAAAAAATGAACTCGGTGAGCATGGAAGCACCACCGAGACATAGAAGTGCGACGAGGAGTTTGCGATTGCATTCATACATTGCGTATATACGAACAATGAGGACAACTGAATCGGGTGTGATTAGCTTGCCATCAGGTTTCCAGTATGCCTTAGCTTACTGCTCGTAGCAAGAACGTTGAGAGTACCGGTATAGATGAACCAGTTAGACATGAACAAGCATCTGTGATACTATCAGCCACGACGATTAGAAAAAAAGACCTTACTGCTAAATATAATATCATTAAACTGCGAGCAATATGAAGGCGTTGTTATTACTCACCTTGTCGGAGGGATGATCCAAGAACATTACTATATATCAGAGCGAGTTAGACCAGGTTTCCAATGAAAAGGAGTAAATTTTCGAACTGATATGTTCAATGCTATCAGCAGGTTAAGGACGATATCTATATCCAAAGTATAACACTCACATGAAGTTGAGTAAGCTTTCATTAATACCGTGTATCAGCTAGTCATTAGCGGACGTCGGATAGACAAAACTCACGTCCAGTATCGACTCTATTTTCAAAGGTCCCTAAGGGATATTAGCATCTCAACGACAAGGATATAGAGGTGATTCTTACCATTACGAACAGAACCTTGGTTCAAATGAATCTCCCAACCCATACAAAGACGACCTGATAAATAGGCATGAGGTCGAAATGCGATCATGTCAGGACCTGAATCAAACCTCTTCGGAAACATAAGAACTGACAACGGTTACTTCAATGTTGAATAGAATAGACGGTTATGGTGAGGGGGACTTTTGATGATCATATAATAAAAGTGCAAGTGCCATGACTTCCTGCAAGCGTTAGCATCATTAAAACGGTACATAAATTGGAATTTGCGACACACTCCACATTGCGCGAGTAAAACGAAGATCATTCCCAATTATTGTGAGCTGCTGCAAAGTCGGGACGTTCTGTGAGTTCGTCCCCTCCAGAGAGAGCGCAAGGTACTTTGAGGGATTATCAATATCATCAGGGTCCTGACTTGCAAGGTCGGAGTCCGGGTGTCATTCTTGTAGAACCTAAGCAGCACTGCGGGATAATTTCGTACTCGGTCTTTGTGGTATGATCAATGAAACAATGATTCGAAGAGCAGTATCACCTAAGATTAGATTCGAAGTTGATGGACAAGACTCCTTGCTGATGCTCCCGACAATTCATACAAATGGTCTCAAGTGTATATATGGTCTGCTAACCTGTCAATAGTGGGATAGATCAGTTGAGATAAATGATGGGAGGTTTCAGTGACGTTATTATAGACATCTACTGAGAATGTCCAGTTCTATCCCCACTTACCGTACCTGACATTGAGATAGACGTATTATACAATATGTCCATATAATACATTGCTGTTCGATACCAAATGTTAAGGTCCTCAACAATCCGAGGTAGCCATAGCCTCCACCCAATTCACAACATCTTTCCACACTCTATCTCTCACCTTCTCATCCCACCACCCCATCATTAACACATCATGCACGCCATCCTCAACCCACACCGTCTTCACCTTGACACCATCTCTCTCCATCGCTCCCACCAGCTTGATCACCTCTCTCTCCAGCCTCTCAGCGTCACCGAGCACAACACAAGTTCTTGGGAACTCGGTGAATAGACTAAGCCCTCTCGGACTAGCCATCATCGGTCTTCGTAAGCTAGTCGGACTTTGCTCAAGTGCCCCACCGAGGAGTGGAGTCGAAGGGACAGAGACCATTGTGCGCAGATTAGCCAGTGCTTCGAGATCGAAAGCTCGGATGGTGAGAGACTCAACGCTTGTCGCGAATTGGTCTCCATAGAATGCACGAAGGACACGTTGGGAGGCAGGTGAGACGTATGGACTGTGCATGGTTTCGAGGGGTTGTGGCCTAGGAATGTGCGCTTGAAGGAGCGCACGAGGCTCAGGGGTGTCGACGAGGTAGTCTGTAGATGCATGTGGGCGAGGGACGTAGGATGAGGGTGACTCGGGGAAAGCGTGTGCTGAGCATCGGATGGTTATTGTTAGAAATCGTTTGATCAAAATGAGATGCACTACTTACAAGGGTCGCACGAAGGGGATAGAAGGAGAAGGCCATCTGGTGGAGGTAGCTTAGCCTCGTCTCGGATCCATCTTGCTAGAGCAAGAACGAGGTTGCCGCCGGCAGAATCTCCTATAAGAATTATCATACAGGACTTCGGAGAAAAGAGATGCGTGTTTTCTTGTTTCTTAACGTTATCTGGATTATGGAGATCATTTGATGATTGGCCGGTCTTGTTGGAATGGGAATCCGGTTTCGGGCTACCGTCCACAGTAACAGTTTCACTGGTAGCTTTGGAAGAAGAAGCCACAAAGAGACTACGAGGTTGTGAGTATGTCGTTACAATATGTGCATAGACTGCTGCAGCATCTTGAACCGCAGCAGGAAACGGCGCATGTTGGAGAAGTCGATACTCCACAGCTGTGTAGATGATCAAAAAACAGCGGAATATGACTAAATCTCGGGAAACATACCATAGATCTCCGTGAACGCCTTTTCCTGTAAGTGCACAGGTGATGATGTAGATTTTTCTAATACTGTAAAAGGAAGCATTAAGACATACCTTCATGAGACGACGTGGTATTTTGGAGGTTTTACTGCTCTCGTGTGCGGACATGTGGCAGTACCCTCCACCATGAAGAAAGAGACCGATGATAGGAGTATGCCCAGCAGCAGCTTCGACGTCTGGAGCTGAAGAACAGACATTGTCAAGTCTATGCAACACATGGGAAGAGTTCGGAATACCTGACAGACCTGACGTACTCTAGCATACGAGCATAGGGGAGTGCGTCCAATGCTTACCAGCCAGCTTTTGTTTGGGCCATACGAAAGTTCCAACTTTGCGATACGGTACCTCTTCATCGACGATAACACCTGTCCTAAGCTCTTCCGAGAGCGGGTCTACCCATTCAAACCTCGTTTCGCGGAGTGTATGGTTGTCGCATGGAGCGTCAGGGGTCGCGAGTACCCCAGGTCACGCCAGCAACTTCGGTCACTCTATACACTCTGCGTGTGAAGTTGACAGCTATTATTTGTTTTATTGACCAAGATGGTCGAGGTCGGTAAGAAATAGGGGAGCAGAGATAGTATAATGTCCAGAATGGTACAAGCAAGAGAGTAGTAAGAAGACGTTGGGCAACGTAGAGTGTCTTGAGTGGCTCCCGTGCGTAGGGCATTTCATCTAGATGAGGGCTGTCTTTCGACATTGTCGAAGGTGTTCAAGAAATAATGAAGCCTAAGCCCTGGTGAATACTATTTACTGCGCGTTACATCATCGTCATTAGTAAGTGACGGTGTGTCACAAACTCAGGCGTTCGTGCGCAATTGCAGCTTCCCTCGCATCTTCTTTGCTTGGCATGGGCATTGGTGCAGGGGTCGCATGGGCTGGACAACTCAGGATGGTATCTCTACTAAGGAGGTATGTTCAATAAGAGTCACCACAACCGGGAAGATGCTCACATACTGACTCGGAACTAGGTAGATGATCGATCATAAATATGGTCGAGATAGATATTAAGTGACAATAAATTACTGAGTAACTCTACCGCGATATCGGCACAAGCACTAATGGGGTAGTGGTAACCTGGGTCGTTGCCATACTATCTCGACCCGCCGGGGGTTCGATTCCCTCTTAGTGCAGTCATAATTTTGCTATAAAATTCGAGGTTGGTGTGCTGTCTACTCTTACTAACTTTGATAATATTTCGTGCACCTTGCAACAAGATGTCACTACAGAATTCTGAGTAGCCTCAAGACTCAAGAAGACAGGTTACGATTCTTGGAACCACTGAAATCCATCTGATGGATGTTCTGATCCAAGTCCCAACATGAATGTTTTCCATGACTCGGATATCTGACCATCTGTCCTTGGGCTTGCCATGCATGACATCCATGGCATAGATAATGATTCACTACCAGTATTTTTTCGAACAACTGTAGGTTATGACAGATGTTAGATGTGCTTGTTTTATGAGCTCACGAACTGTCATATCCCTGCCTCTTAGAGTTCTCGAGCTCAGTCGCAACTATACTTAGCGGCGAGAATCACAGGAGTGACAACGGCCCAGGGGAACCTGTATGGTACCTACTGTCCTTCCAGCCGCTCTAAAATACATTGCACAAGTATTAGTACAACAGGGACCACTTGGTCGTTACAAGTGTCCGACCTCTAAACAGATTCAAGCCAACTTGAACTTGTCATTGTTATGTTTCTCCGTTTCAATTCGACCCGATCATCTCTGGAAGTCAGTCTGCAGGATGGACTGACATTGCAAGAGCTGGTAACAATTGGGAACGATCTTCGACTTACGCGGGCGTTGTGGAGTAAGTCCGAGTCATACACCTTTGTTATCCGAGAATGTGACCGTTTCTCATCTATCATAGTCATGTCTCTAGCTTTGTTCGTTTACGACTTTTGTAAGTCACGCACGAGCTTCTGTCTAGTCATTACGATCGTAACTGAACGCTCTGTCATCGAGTTTTGACATTTGCGAACGAGGTGATTATCCCTCATCTGTCTTCCAGAAGACTTACTAAACTACCTCGCCTTTGTTCAAGGTCCGATTCGTTTGGAGGGGTACCTTCAACTGGTTCAAGCTTCTCTTCATAGTGGTATGTTACTCTGAATACTATATAAGCTATGCCTTTATGCTTAATTGGCAATAAAGAGCCGTTATTGGACGTAAGTCTTCGCCAGCCGCATATCCCAATGGTTATCCTGAAAACCCCTCCTAGCTTGATAAATTTCATGTGGGTCACCCTGTTGTCTTTGTTGAATACTAACTACAACTACGGGAGGTACACCAGTATAGAACATGCCAGTAAGGGATATGCTCACTATCTGTGTTGAATTGTCTGCTTATTTTGCTATCACTAGTTATGGGTATGGATCACCCGACGGATAAGGTGAGCAATAATCTTCTATGCAAAAATCTTATGATGAAATTACGGAACTTGGGCTTGCAGGAGTAATATAAACGACGATTATAGTCTTTGTCATGCTCTGAAGAATCGATTTAGTAGATGCTTTTTCGTGTCAAATTGGTTTGTGTATAACGGAATTTTGAACGTCCTAGCTACCGGGGGTAAGTGGCCCTTCAACTTCAACTTTCGATGCTCTTCGCCTAACCACTGTAAACATTGACTTAGTCATTCTCACTCTTCGAATCTTCGCCATGTACGAGTGCAACCGAAAGCTCCTCTTTGGACTCTTAACACTCCTCGGAGTCTCTACACTTGCGGAAAAAATATACCTCGGATTTATCGTAGCGAGGTCACATAGTGAGTCCGTTTGGTCGTCCCATATTTCACATAGAAATTCCGACCATTCTATTCAGATATACACCTACCGCTTCCTGGTTGCTTTTTATTAAACACCCAGAAGTTTGCGTTTACCTACTGGTTTCCAATGATCACGTTCGAAAGTACTCTCTTCATCTTAGCTATCATCAAGAGCGTCCGGCAAGCCATGAAGGATACAACGACTCCACATCTCATGTTCATTCTGTTGAGGGACTCTATTGTATACTTTGGTGGTATGCTTGCGGTCGTGTTGGCCAATTGCATCGTCTGGGCAGCCGGAAGGGTACGTCGTATACATGGCTTTTATGCATGTTAACACGGGATGGTATCTTTTATAGGAATCTCTATTTGTCGCTTTCACTTCGTGAGGGCCATCATCAGGATATAGTCGAGCCTCGAAAACTGAAATCCTTTTGTTAGGACATATATATCAATTCAGTCCATCCTGAGTTGTAGGATGTTGGTATGTCAAATGGCTCTAGTATTGCTCTTGAATAATGATAACATTCTGACAGCTCAACGTCCGCTCGGCTGCCAATCCATGGTATCACTATGAAACATCAATTTTCTCCAGTGTTCGCTTTATCGGAAGGAGTGGTCCCCCGGAGAGCGATGAGATGGGAGCTTCAAATCAATCGGAAATAGGTCGAGGTGATGCGTAACGTGGTGGTAAGTTGTCTATCAAAATGAGAAGGATGTTGTATTGATGCATACGTAAACATAGGGCGACGATAGACTCGTACCCTATGAAAGTGACATTGCGTGGTAGCCTAAGGATGTGCAGGTCATTCGGTTCCTGATGCGTAGTTGTACATTGTTGCGAGTTGCATAGTTACAATTGAGTAGTTAGCAGATTATCATTGGATCCAGGCAGCATGTCGCTTTACGAGCTCTGCAACTATGTCCTCTTCTATCTCTCTGTGGGGCTCAAGCGCTAGATCTATCTTGATCCATGTCTCGACGAATGTCAGTTTTGCGTTGTCGGCAGCCGAAGATTTAGGGTTCGGTGAAACAAAAACGACTTCAAACTTGCGGCGATGCAGGTCATTGCCAATGACCACTTGATGACCATATCGCTGCAAGGCGCCTTGTGCCTTGGGGATCAATAAAGCCTGATCTGTCTCGAGCTATAGACGTAGTTAATTATAGTGCCACCTGAAACACAATACGGACAAAAATACCTTGAATGATACAATAAATCCTTCTTTGGTCCATTCATCCACCAACGGTTCGATAATCTTTGGTACTTGGTCCATTTCGATATGTAGACTTCCTTTTCCTGATTGAATTTTATGTTCGGACTTTTCATTCTCGGCAGTTAGTGCTATTGGTTGGTACAGGATTCAAGTAAACTGCTCACCATCTTTTGACGAGGGAGGAAGAAGTCACTGACAGCCGCCGCAAGGTAGAAAAGAGAAGTCCGTCCCAACACCGCAAGCTCTTTGCTGACGGCACGGAGAAGCCAAAGATAATCGTTGACCGTGACAAATGTAAGAGTCAGAAGTGTCCCCGATTTATGCACCTCTTTGTAGTCCGTTAGGACCTGTCGCAATTGAGACCGTTCAGCTGGCGTGACAGTAATCTCGTTGCCGTTTGAGGCGGAGTGGTCGATTTCCAAGAAGTCAAGAAAAGGGTGGGTGGAATGCGAGTAGTGTCTACTGAACGGTTGTAAAGCTGAATTGCCTGTGCATGAATATCACCGCATATCCAGCCTTGAGGAAGTATTCAGCAGAAGTAGCACCACGAGTTCCTGATGATTAAATAAGAACGATTCAGTACGAGGTGGATATTTCGACAAACCTGCACTAAAATTATCCAGGAAACGAACGCTGCAGATTGAATGTGCATGAGCTTAAAAGCTACTTCGCCTGATCTACGCCATGCATGCTCACACATTGAGCTCGAGAGGGACAGTCGTTCCGCCGCTCTATGTTTACTCTGTGAGATGGTGTTCGAGTGCAATATGTGGATTAGCACACACCGTTACCAGGACAACTTTTCTTCCACCTCCTAGTTGTCTTTGTACAAATTCACGCACTCGAGCTACCTCCTGATCAAGGTTTGGTGGCGGTGGTTGTGTGTCAAAATAGTTCTCTGCGGAAAACGGCGTAGTAGTCGTCGACTCCATAGTTCCTTACACCAAATTAGTATCACAGCATTGAGAACTTGACATAACATATACTAACTTCAGAGGGATAAAAGATAAACTAACTTCACTGAGCTCGCCTTTTAAGTTGGAAATAATCGGTGGTACGAGAAATGGAGGTCAATTTAGACTCCGCGACCCCAGGAATAATGTTACTTTTCCCGTTTTGGCAGGTGTAGTATTCGCCGGACACATTCTTACTGTATAAGTAATATCGATGCTTATTTTGACACCTGCCGCTATTATAGTCGTCTTTCTCTGTGGCATCAAATGTACATTTCGACGGTCAACTCACCGCCAAAGAATGCATAATCATGATGTTGCTTTGATGTCGTCAAAGTCTAAAACGGCTTAGCCACTCTCAGCCATTCCCTGGTAGACATCTGCGACGGAATGTTCCTTCTAGAGAAGCTCATACAAGCTCATACATTATGACAAGAATACCATACGTGGCAAGGATTCGGAAATCAGGTGGGTCACAGCCCCAAGATCAACCCTAAAGCTGGAGCAAGTGCTTCGATCTGGATCAAAAGAAGACTTGCTGAACCTTCCAGTGGCGTGTGCATACTTTTAGTCTCTTTGCTCATCAAAGTGATGAGTTTCAATAGAAACTGTATCGTAGATGCTGGTGGTTACCAGTAATTACGACGCGGTCCCGTGAGTCGGGTTCTAGGCGAGCGTCTCCACGTGCATCAAAATGAGCCGCGGAAGTATTTTCTCTCCATCCCTACCTTCTTCTGTCAACGATGAAGGATGAAGTACGACAACTACCAGGTCGACATTTGCAGTGACGGTTTACCCATTCCTGAATATGGTCAAGTAGTGGAACCCAAGCTTCACAGCTGTTTCATCCCGAGTGAAGTCGGAAAGGTGAGTAGCATGGCCTTCGTTACGCCTCTTCTGTAGCCGGATGGCAGTTTATATATTTCGCCCCTGCTAGCGTTTTACCGTCGATGTTACAAACCTATCCCAGGACCGAGACGTTGAAGCTAGGATATATATCGATGGTCGTCTTCTTGCTCGGACAGCTGTCAAGTCTATGAGCCACAACTGGGCCAGTGGCGCTCAAGTTACACACAATGTTATGCGTCCATTTGTCTTTTCTAATGTTGTTCTGACCGGTAAGCACCTCCCTTCTATTCCTATACTGTCCCTCAAGTTATCTTCCCACCCAGATGATGAGGACGTCGCC